AGAAGGGGAAAATCCGAGGAGCGAGACTCCCTCCTCGAGCACAGCAACGAATCAGACTACTACTAATATAACCGGTAATACGACACCGACATCGCAACCTACAAGCAACACAACGCCGATTACTACGACCACAGGTCCGGACGAGGAAGAAATCGAACCTCCAGCCATCGTTGTTTACTTTGTTGAACCTTTTTCGTTAGGCGGTACCGAGGATCCTGATCGACGTCGGCTTGCTATTCTAGCTCTACTCAGAGCTTACTCTTCTGCGATCAATAGCATGCCTGAAAATATGAGATCAAATATTCACGTTCAGGTAATAAATTCTAAGCATCTTGATGTGATGAGGAGTTAATAATTTTAGGATCTTGATGAGGAGTTAATAATTTTAAACTCAGCTGATCAGTATTTTAAGTTGTTTTTATGGCATTCTAACAATTTTTGCTTTTAGATAATATCCTTGGAAAGCATAATGGAATTGGGTCGAGCTCGAGAAAGGCGAAAGATTCAAGATGAGATGAGAGCCTTGGCGTTAAATGTCTTCTTGCAAGGACGTCGATTATTAAATCATAATTCTACGGTGAAAAGCCTTACTGGTTTCGGTACTGCCGCCGCTGCAGACATCTTCCTCAAAAGTAAAGATGTAAGGCTCCATGTTCCATTACTATAAATTAATGCTTACCATATGATTGAGGATTGCCGAAAGTTCCGTTTGTGCACTGCGATGTGAGATTAAAATCCATGCTATATATAAATCATTTTTACTCATTTAGTAATATTCTCTGCATCAGGAACGAAATAGAGCACCTTATCGTCTCTACGCACCGGCCTTCGTATTAGCACCATTGCGGGCGAAGAGTGAAGCTCCCGAATCATTTGGCATGCCAAGACCCGAAGAATGCGCGGTGCTCTATCTGAGTTACTGTTTGAGCGAGGATCAGTCTTGGCTGTTGGCGGCCGCAACGGACGATAGGGGCGAAATTTTCGAAACTGCTACCATTAACATCGACATACCTAACAGGAAAAGAAGAAAGCGCGCTTCAGCTAGGCGTATTGGCCTTCAAAAGCTTATGGACTTTATATTGAGTGTAATGTCCCAAGGTGTAAGTAAAAATTTTACATAAATTAAAATCATTAATAGAATAAACCAACAGTATTTAATAAAGAATATGAGAGCCAACGCAAAGTTTTTTCAAAAACAATATTTATAATAATTTTTCTCATCTGAAAAAACAAACATTTCGATCTTTATATCAGATCATCCTCAGTATATCGTTAATAATTTTAAATTATATATTAATCATATCTCTATTACAAAACTTCAAAAATAAAAATATATATCAGTTGCAAACCTATACGCATCGTTAACATGTTAACAAGGAATTAACTGTAGAACAATAGTATGGAATGGTTGATTATGTTAGAAAGTGTGGTGGGGCAAGCATTAAAGGAGGGGAGTTAGAATCAGAAACTTAAGAGGGGAACAAATGGCTAAAGACAGAAAGATAATTATCGGGATAAATATCAGGTAATCGAACAGTATTACTTTGTGTTTATTCAGACCACGGTGTTGTTTTTTATGTATATTCCGATACCATCCTCTTATTAAAAGGGAATTCCAAAATATGCAAATTGATATTTTTTCCTATTAATTTTTTGATGATAGAATACTTGATATTATAAATGACATGAAAAATCACAATTCAAATTCTCATTGATAATTTTTATTTTTGTTAAAAACATTTGTTCTTTATCATTAAATATTATTCATTTTATAAATATTATTTCTGTTTTTTATATCGTTCAATTATTTATTTTTGTTGCAGGTACAACCATGGAGACTGGTCGTCGGTCGAATAGGACGCATTGGACATGGCGAATTGAAAGGATGGAGTTGGTTACTTTCTAGAAAAGCGCTTCTGAAAGCTTCAAAGCATCTGAAAGAGATATGCGGACAGTGTAGTCTCTTATATCCCTCGGCGGCACCTTGCGTACTCAGTGCGTGTTTAGTCTCACTCGAGCCAGATTCCACTCTGAGATTAATGGCCGATCAATTCACTCCCGATGAAAGATTTAGTCAGGCATCTGTAAACTGCCAGTTATCCACACCTCAAGATGTCACATGTACTCATATACTTGTTTTCCCTACATCCGCTACCACTCAGGTAAGAAAGTTTAATTATATATACATAAGCTTAATTAGATTATTTATTGAATATAATTAGTCTAAATCCTGTTGTTGTTGTTTTAATATTTTAGTCGTCGCAAACCGCATTTCAAGAGCAACACAACGTACCCGAGTTAGGAGATGACGAATTATTTTCCGCTCTAAATGATGATATGCCGGAAGGTATGGAGGGAATGGGTGACTTCAACGATATTTTCAATGTTTGGCCTGAGCCGGGCGCAGGCGGTGGGCAAAGTCCAAGCGGAAGTCCGCACCGTCCTGAAGGTTCACCGCATGGAGGAGATGGCGGTGGATCAGGCTTGGGCAATCACGATGGGCCTGGCAGTCCATTTCCGTGCAGCAACACGCCAAGAGTAAGTTTTGTGTTTTAAACTAAGTCTGCGACTATATTGTATCCATGTGAAATTACATGCAAATTTATTCGCAGATAGCGACGACTGAGCAAGCAGAAGAAGTTGGTACGCTTCTACAACAACCACTCGCTCTTGGTTACTTAGTATCAACTGCGCCAACGGGACGAATGCCACCATGGTTTTGGGCAGCTTGTCCACATCTCGAAAACGTTTGCCCGGTATTCCTGAAGAACGCATTACACCTGCACAGTCCCGCAATACAACAGAACAGCGATGATTTACTTCAGCAACAAAACGCACCTACTGCTCATCCATTGGACTCGCAGTATACCACTGACGTGCTCAGGTTTGTATTTGCGATGATGTTCGTGATTTTTGCTTTTTAGATATTTGTTGCGCGAAATTTATATTATGTGCAATTTACGTGATTGACAGGTACGTGTTAGAAGGGTACAACGCACTGTCGTGGCTTGCACTGGATGCGAACACCAAGGACCGACTGTCCTGCTTACCAGTGCACGTACAGGCGCTCATGCATCTCTACCATGCGACGGCAGCTCTCGTCTGACCCACACCCTCTCCCGTTGTAGTGCAGTATATGCACCTCTCTCACGCACTCCTTATTGTACCGTCACTTGGGGCTTTACGAGAGCAACTGATTTCCTATGCCCTTTACCTATACTACATTAGTTAGGTACTTAGAGAGAAAGAGATTGTCTAGGTACAGAGTACGATCCTTCTCGACTATATGTAAAGAGAACCGAGCTTTTTTTACTCGGACTCTAATTAATACACAAGTTAGCGCAATGAAAATGCAAAGGCTAAAAATGCAAAACTCGATGAGAACGAACAGCGGCTCTCTACCATTTTTCTATTATAACAGGCGAAATAGATTGTACTTTGTGTTTATGATCGTATCTCGTATTTCGTAAGGAAAAAAATGAACTGCGCATCCAATACGACCATTACCAGCGAAAGCAAATGTGAGACTTTGCGAACGGTAGAAGCGAAGATGCGAATGATGAAAGATACTGTGAGAAAGGAAGAAAGATAGGGCAGGAAAGAATGAGGATGAAAGAGAAGTATAGCGAAAGAAAAGTGCGAAAGAAATAGAGAAAGTGTGTGAACGAACGAGTGAGTGAAAGAGAGAAAGAAAAGATGAAAAAGAGAGTGCATAATAAGAAAATGATTTTCGATTGCCTCTCTATCGATAGATAGTTGAATTACAAATCAGAATCTCTAGAAAAATTACGTAACCAAAAGTTTTTAATTGTAAATTAAATTTTGTACAAAGCTTTTATTATTAATGACGACGAAGTAATATAAATGATATTACGTTGTTTTTTAATTTTATATAGATGATATAAAAAAAAAGAGAGGTGGACTTCTTTTTTATAAGCGATGCCTCGTATAAGCCCCTGGTGTGAGATAAGTATGACGATTATAATATTATATTATGCTCGCGCGGCACTGGGTCGCTGTTATCATGTTTCCTGGACCCGTTAGCGCAATTTTTCGATGCTGTTTGACAAATTTTATTCGGATTAGGTGACCTCTATATATTATACATACATTATAGTGTAAAATATTGTTTTTAAATAATTTATGAAGTGAGACATCGCCGAGATTAGATAATTGAGAATGAAAGAGGGAAATACCGCGAGAATGAAAGAAAAGGAGAGAAAGAGAGAGAAAAGAATAAGCGAGAGAATGAGAGCCAGTTATGCAGAGATTGTTTTCCTCCAATTTAAATTTGAATGCAAAAAAAAGAAGAAAAGACACGAAGAGAGAAATTGTGGGGCGCGTCTGAGTGGAGCCATGGTGGCCAATTGCGTCAGTCGCATAGTACAAATATGACTTGTACATAGAACCCCTAACTCCCTAATTAATTGGTTAATTTACTCACACCCACACTCACTCTGTATCTATAGTATTTATTACTGGGTAGTACGTCATTATTGGGATTATTATTATTATTAAAATTATTATTACCATTATTATATTAATATTACGAAATACAGTTTTATGTGTATATATATAATTACATATGTGATTTTTCTCTTGTATTTGTAGCGCCCGAAAAATTGTCTCGCAAGCACAGTAGAAAAGATGTTTTCGCTTCCATGAACAAAAAAATGTGAACAATTGAATTTTTTTCATTTGCCAAGTGATTGCTCTTATCATTTCGAGTTTTGTGTACTAATATCTTTCTACTAGTCGATATCTTAATGGTGCTGTATATCTTTACATTAACTAATTAGGTAGATAAAAGTATTTTTTTTTTAAGGAAAATAAAACGTGATACTTTTAAATACCTTTAAAGAGAAAGGAAAATACACGGCATTATTCTTCGACGACATATATATTAAAATACGACATTTATTTTAAGGATCATACGTTTTATTCAGTTTAAACTCTTAAGAAATTATTATCACATCGCATCTTATAAAATTTAACTGTCGTAATTTTGTTCTAAAAAAAATTCTGAATCTCTACGCATCTATTGTGCTTGCACTATCTCCCTATCTTTTCTAGTCTATAACTATATCCATTATGGCCAGTGTTTTTTAACACAGATACGTATAAAGACTTCATGTGTTTAAGAAGTACGATATATCACACTTTTCCGCTGAGAATATATTACACTTATATATCGTTGGCTCGAATGGACTAGTATCATGTATAAAATAAAAATTATAGAACCTTATGATTTATTTACGACAGTGTACGGACTAGTATTCGATCAACGTCGACGATCGATCCGGAGAGGATCTCTCCAGGCTGTGACTGATACCATATGGTCTCAAATGGTAAATCAGATATTCCAGAACATACATCATGTTCGGTGACACGTAATGGAATGAAACAGCACTGTCTGAACAGCAATTCAATCCATCCTTGGTATCATAATAGATATACTTCCAATACCAGAAATTCTTATCTACATGATTTGGGATCAAGTGGTGTTCTGGCACAAACGGAAAGAATCTACCGCGCCCATGAGGATCTCTGGTATCCATCGCGCGTACACCAATTTTTTCGAGGCATTTTCCCATCTCCACGTCCTCGGCGCCGCCATTATCCGGCCGACATTTTGTCTTATCGGGTAAACCTTCTTCCACGAACTTGCGTAAGCCTTCCTTACTAAGTACATATCCTGCGCCACCGCTCATGTAACCTTGCTTTACGAAAGGTTTAAATCTGCATCCGAAGTACAATGATGAATTTGGATTATATGACGATAACATATATCGTAAATTTTCTACCACCACATATCTAAAAACGCATAAACACAAAAAAATTATTTTTTTCAATTACATATGTGTATAACATATTATATTTAGTAGCTCTTTTGATTGTGGAGAACATTGTTCATTTAAAATAATCTAAACTATCAAGTTTTATTTAATTTTTTTTAAATTTATTCAGTATTGTACTTATATTTTTTATTAACCAATATAAAAAAATACCAATTTGTATTATTTATGTATTATATCGTATATTATATCGTAAAAATAAAATCATGAAAAGAATGTACATGTATATCTGTATAGCTGTACATGTATAGAGATACATGTGTAGAGATAAAATTTATCACAAATATAGAATACACTTACGTATCATCGTCAGCTTTCATGAACCAATCTACTTTATCTTTGTACTTCTCGTAAGCGTATTTAAACGCTTCTTTGGTTTTAGCCCATAGATTATCTCTACCTTCCTTTACTGGCAACACTACAGCGGGTAAGCTAGCGTCTGAAAATAAATGGCATGCGTGCACTGTACAAAAATTCTACCTGCGTATCACAACTTTTATCTGATGTTTAAAATACCTGCCGCAGAACTCATGAAAAGAAGTACATTGCAACGTTTTCCCCATGTCGCTTTCACGTGACGAGCCTTGCTCTGATGGTTCTTTGGACCTGTCATAATCCAGCAAAGGACACGTACTTTTCTCGCCATATCCTGAGCTATTCTATCTTCTCCTTTGTGGAAATCTTCATCATCACCATGAAATTTCACTTCTGTTGCAGGGCCAACCTATCATAGAAAATTCAAATAATGATAAACTTAAAAATTATTTCACAGTTACACCTATATAGTCCCAAAATTCATCAATCAAAACGCCATAGCAAGAAAGTTCTCGAAAAATTAAATTATTTGTAAAATTTTTGAAGTAGTAGCCATATTTAAATCCTTATTGTCTCAAAAAGAGATAATAAGGATTTAAATATGGCTAATTACGTTTAAATGACCATTAATACGGGCCATTATTTAGTCTATAGTTAGCCATGTTAAAACTCTTATTATCTTAAACAGTACTTAAAATAAAAATTTATTAAATGTATTAAATTAAAATACAAATAACTTTTTTAATTACTTAATTTTAAAAACTTAATTTTTCGAGAACTTTTGCTGTGGTATTTTGATTCACGAATTTCGGAACATATTGTACAATAATTATATTTAAAAAAACGTTATTTACACATATTTTAATCAAAAAGAGAGGAAATTCATCATTTTCCTCATAGGTATAGCTATAACAAAATTAATACGCATTTATGCTGATTTATAAGTTTCTATGTTTTATATCGAATACTTAACATATGATATTCTGAATGATAGATCAAGCTGGCACCAAATGTTTTAAAAGCATTGTTATTTGGAATATAAAAAAATACATTGCATACCTCTGATTCTAGTTCTGAATAATGATGAGGATCTCTAGAAAGGCCAGAACCACCTGGTACCCAACTGAACATGTGCGGTACATCTCTCGTAGATGTAATGAGCAAACATGCTGATAAAAAGCCGAAAACTGTTCCAGCTACGAGTGTCAATATAAATCGCCGTCCACTTCGACCACCTGTGTGAATAACTAATTACTATATATTTTATAACTGTTACAATTTCATATTTACAAATTATGGATTAATATAAATCACTCAGAATTAAGCATAAATTTTTTTATATAAAATTTTTTTATATAAAATTAAATGGACTCTTACCATCGAAACTAGGTAGCCGCTGCTGCATCATGATATATAATATAAATTGGCTCAATAACGCTATAAATGCTTGCGAATATAAATTGCAGTCTCCTTCGCATTCATTTTTACTTGTATAAATGCATGATACTTTTATTACTGCCTTCTAAAATATAAAAACATTACTGTTTTATGATTAATATAATAAGAAAAGAGAGAGTAGTTGCTGTGTTAAGCTGGCTATACATGTCAAGTAAACTCACACAAGTAGATTGTACAAGTATACTTGACAAATTTACTTGAACGCATGGGCCGATCTCAAATAGAAAATGCTACTAATATTGAACAACTTTTGCTGTAATATCTATATCATCTTGTAAGATATCAATAAACTTTTAAGTTTGTTGCTACTCTAGAAGATTATTTATCAATATCAGATTTATTATTAATTATATAATTATCAATATAGAAACAAACAGATAAAAAATTCTCTTATATTAAATACTCTTATATTAATGTATTATTTTAGCTTTCCTTCATGTCGCAAATGACTGTTTCACAACATTAAAATCAACATCAACTCCAACATCACGTAATATTTATGTTAATAAAATAAATTCATTATTATTCAATAACTTCATATACATACTTGATCAATATGATGTCTTGATAATATGATAAATTCTTCAAGGCCATTTCTAAGCTCATATATTGAACTCGTCACTTATATAATAATGTAGATAATCTTCGCTGACCACATCTTTTCATGCTTCTCGTATTTTTAGTCAGCTAAGAATGAGCGCTAAGAATTGTATATATAAGCATATGTATAATGCAGTATCTTCGATTCAGAGGACTGGAGATCTGAAATAAAAAAGAAACCTATAAAAATAGCAACCAGAAACAGGTGTGTGAAAAGTCTGGAGACGAGAATACTTGGAGACAATGTTGTATTCACGGCACACTTTTTGAGTTATATGCGCATTTATGTCTCTGAATGTATAAACAGTTCATCGAAAATATTCTTTGATAACGAAATAATGATTATCATGATGCTAAATATAACAGCACTTTTGTTTCACTGATAATGTTAATGTGTATTGTGTAATATTAGATGCTATCTCCAAGCAACAAAAGATTTTTTACAAAGCCACAGATGCCAGAGCACAGGTGCGAATACAGAAAATAGGAAATATATGTAATAATGTTCGATCTAATATTATGCAAGGGGCTATTATTATGTTAATTACAGGCACATATATAACGGCGAATGCAAAAAGCAGCAGAGCATCGCATTCGAAACGTTCGACCGTCGAACAGTGGCATTGCATTCCTTTAAAAATACTGTCGGTGAAAACAAAAAAGAAAATGAATTGTGCAATGTGCGATAATAAGAGGTCGGAATGCAATATTTTTCGCGATAGTCATCAGTTTTCGTCTCTCTTAGTTAGTCGTCTCTCTTATTAAGTCAAGTTACACCGAAGTACTCGTTCGTTAGCCCATGTTTACTAAATTTATTTGCACAATTGCGCAAATATTCGCACGATCGTGACAAATATTTACGGCCCAATATCATCGTCACTATACACCTCGTACGCGTAACAAGGAGTTTTCATTCACAAACCGTGCGGAGTATCGTGGATCGCCCACTATCTAGTCGTCGATGGTGCGCCGGGGAATGTTTATCGCGCCGCGCCGTCGCACGAAGTGAGTCGTTCATCAAAGAGAAAAACTCGTCAACACGTCTTGCGGTCACTCACGGATCTAACACGCGGATCCGATTCCGGATCCTCCTCCTCAAACTTCCGAGAAGCGCGCGTTATCCCGAGAATATGTTTACACAGCACGTTGGGAATACTGTCGGTGTTCCATGATCAATTACAAGATTAAAAGAACTGACGACTTACATTTCTTCTTCCCCTCCCCCCCCCCCCCAAAATTCACAGGCGAACGTCTTCGGGCGACGGCGTCATCCCGCGAGCGTTATCGCGAGAGACGCGTTAACGGGCACAAAAGAATCCGCGGCGAACATTCGGGTGGCGATAACAATCAGCGATGCGCGCGTCTCGCCCTCTCTCCCCCCTCGAAATGAATATTGCATACTGCACACACGCGCACGCGCGCATACGTACATTACGTGTCGTGTAATATGTACATACGCACTGATTGGAAAGTATCTACACACAGCATGCATCGAGGCCGTCTCCATTCGACTCGTGATACTCCTGACGTGACGACGCATATGGCCATCACGCCGATATTCTCGTATCGCGAGGAAACGCCGAAAGCGCGGGGGAAACAAACCACCGACGCGATACGACTTGATACGACTCAATTCATCCGGTATGTACGTATACAATATGTGTGTGTATACGTGCATGTGTGTGTGTCTATCCTGTCGGGTCTGTGTATCGCAAAGCATAGCTTGCCGCGGAATCTCTTCATATCATTATCGCGCGGAGATTATCCCGAAATTATGCGTTTGTCAGCATATATTTTTTCCATGCGCGCTCAAGGGAGACAAAGTTATTATTTGTTGATTCTCGCATATTTATCAGCGATCTCTACTTTGTTATTTTACAGCTACGGTTAGTAATTACGATTGATGATTGCAATTCGCGTGTATATACAGGATCTGCTAAAATTAGCAGCACGATGAGTTGTCGTGTTCTGTCATTAATAAAAACGCGAAGAGCCATTAATATTCGGCGTTGAAGAATTCGGTTTGATAAAGAGATCAAACAATAGTGAAAATTGAAATTGGGATAAATTTATATTAAATAAAGTGTTCTATGGATGTAATAAATTTTATGTACATATATGTATTACAGAAGAATAAAGAAAATAATCATCGTTTAATAAAGATTCGTGTGAATGTAAAATAATACTTAAATAGTACTTCCCAGAATTAATTGTGCTATACATTTCAACATTACATTTATGTATTTAATTACATTTATGTTTAAATTTGAATTTACACAAATTTGTTTCTTATAGACAATATACAATTAAATACTATAAAATATGTAAATATTAATTACAATGTAAAATATATAAATTATAAATTAATTAGATTATAAAATAATATAGAAGAAATTGTAAAATTGTAAAGTTTTAGGATCAAAATAGCTGATTTTAATATCGACAATTTAAAAAATATTTAAATGAACTAGAAATTACTTTAGTACAACGAAAAAAAATGAGCTCTTCATAGATTAATTTTTTACTGCATATATAACATGTAAGATATGGTTTACATAATTTATATTATACGTATAGATTAAATTATATATTTTGTGAATGAACGCACAACTCTGAAATATTCCATAAAAACGTATAAATTAAAAATACAGAAGGCAGAATTCTGATGAGGATCAATTATATGCTTGAAACGAGATGAAAATTACAAAATCGAAATTACTTATAATTTTATTGATCAAGACATAATAAATTCGCTCATTTTTATAATTTTATCGGAAATTTCAAGGTACATAATTGACCCCTAATAATTATAGCATCTGCCTTATCGATTGAATAAAATAATAATGTACCGTCGATACTAATCAGGCAAAGGTAAAATAGGTTTCCTGCAAATAATTGATAATTCAAATAAAATTACAATTTTATATATAAAATCAAGATTCGATTAATATATTTGATATTTCGCTTAATTTATACAGAAAAAATTTTTATACATTATTATTGAAAGCAGATAAAAAGCTGAAAAATGTATAAGTATGCGATTTCCAATTTTTAAAGAACACAGTCTTATATATTTCAAAAAATTATATAATTTCAAAAAATTTTATTTTTTCAAACTGTTCTTGAATCTTACCATAATCGACTGAAGTATTTTTCGAATCGCGACGCGCAATGTTTTGAACCTTTTGAAATTGATAAGGAAGATGTGACAGTATATGGCAGATGGCTGCGCCGTGTGTAGAAGATTAACAGTAACTTTCTGATGAATAATTATATGTTATGATCTACGGTGATATCTGACAACGTTCTGCCGTTTCGCAATGTCTGCAAATTACTATTTCGCTATCGTTGGCCATGCCGATAATCCGCTGTTCGAGATAGAGTTTAACAATGCTGGAAAAGACGCAAAAGTTCGTTTTGAGGTTAAACTTCAACTTTGCATTGACTTGTCGATTCTACCATTCTATTTTTTTTCTTTTAGAAGGAGGATCACTCGCATTTGAATCAATTCATCGCCCATGCAGCACTCGATCTTGTGGATGAGCACACGTGGAAAACGACGAACATGCATCTGAAAGTTGTGGATAAATTTAACCAATGGTTTGTTAGCGCGTTCGTAACGGCGACTCATATCAGATTTGTCATGGTGCACGACAGCAAGAATGAAGACGGAATCAAGAACTTTTTTAATGAAATGTACGAGACTTACATAAAGGTAATAATTATTTTGATAATATCAGATTTAGAGTGCTTTGTAGCAAGAAATAGACATTATAACACTGTGAATCCTTGGATGTTTTCCAGCAAGAACATAATCAGACGCAGTGGAACACAATAAATCATTACATCCTTGTTTGCCTACATTAAACAAGGATAAAATGATTTATGGTGTCTGACTGGATCCTTGCTGGAAAATGTCTCTTATATACTAATGTTAAACAGAAATGAAATAGTCTTAAGCCCTTATCACATAGGTTGCCAATTACGATTCTATTTTTTGATTTCAATTGTTGATTCTATTTTTGCCAATCACATTGCCTAATCTGCACTGCCTCGCTGCATCATCATTGACTAAAATAGAACTGACAACCTGCAGTGTGATTACGGCCTTACAATGGCTGGTATAGGATGCTTTTCAATAAAAGACACAGGGTATGGTCAACGTGATGAAGCGTTTTTTAACTGGTCAGTTTGTAAAATGCTTTCTTTTAATTAGTCCATCAAATGCTTCAAAGAATTTGTAGCGAGACTTTGACCACAGTCACAGATAACACAATGTAGCACAGTGAATCATTACATCCTTATTGTTTGCAAATATTAAACAAAGACAACCACTGTGTCTCTTGTTAGAAATCACCAAAGCTAGTTCTTAATATTCAAGACTATCTTAAGTACAAAAATGTTATAAACTAATTACTGTCTTAAGTAATGTCTCAAGATGCTAATATGCAGTTCTGTAGCCAATATTCGTAGTCTGATATTTGTTAAGATGTTGTGAATTAATTAGAGAGTTGTATTAGTATCTTAATATAATTTTAAAATAAGAACGGACTATAATAAGAAAGCATCATTATTCACTGATATTATTTATACTGATGAAAATTGAAATCCCAACATCAAGAAAGAACTGTATTAGGTAAATGAAAATTACACAGAACATTTGTTTATAAATTATTACATATTAATTGCAAGATTATAACTCATAGATAGAGTGTAGTACCATAGGAAATATGAAAGTTTCCATGTATAAAACATTAGTGTCTGCTTGTAAGCATTAGTGTCTATAAAAAGCTATAACAACGTGTCGTACATTATCTATTTCTTTTAATAATGTACAGAATATCTCAGGTAACAAACTACATATTGGCAATTAACCCAATTTAAGTGAAGTATAAGCTTTTGAGAGGATGATTATAGATTATCATTTTGTGATATAAGAATTGATATATGAGCCATTTATGTGCATTTGAACATCTGCATTTAATGTGGCAATGACCACAGTAGATATTAAAGAAAATAATATTTAATTCTTATATGGCATTGCATTCACATTCTGCATAACAAATATAATAACTCATATAGAGAAATAAAATGTAATTTTTGTTCACCTTTGTAACTCTTTCTTGGGATGTTGGGATTTCAATTTCCATGTATATATACATTTCAACTTCAGTGTATACGAACATGTTAACAATATTACTTCAGAAATGCTGTGTTTCTATGTTTCAGTATTCAATGAATCCATTTTATAAGCTAAACACTCCTATCAAATCTGTGGGGTTTGAGAAAAAGGCACAGCTATACGGTAGAAAATATTTATCTTCATGAACGTAATGATTGCTTAGTAAAAGTATCTCAACTTGTTCTCTTTAACTTTATTCAAGATTTTTATGCTATAAAATATGCTATTGATAGGCGTTGGAAATAAATTGTTTTCCAGTATTAAATAATATCATTTAAAAAAAGTTGTAACTGTTCACATTTTGATTTGTACAATATATATATGTATATAAGTTAATTGCACTTAAGTTTATGTAAAAATTTGTTTATTATATAAAAGACAAAATTTATCTTATATAGATGTATATGTTGTCTTTTATATATTGTATAATGCGTGAAACTCGTCCTGTATTTTCTATTCCATTTCTAGATCTTGTATCTGAAAAGGAATATTTGTATATATTTGTAAGTCAAAACAGTTGTTAAATAAAATGTATATATACATGTGTAATATCATTTTACCTCTTGTACTTTCTGTATTTCTTGAGTCAATAAATTATCTAAAATCTCCTGGAACCGTTGCCTCAACTTGACGTTTTCAATATTAGCTATTTCGATTTCTTGTTGCTGCCTTCTTTGCCGCAATTCCGCCAATTCCGCGTGAAGAGTAGCAAGACGTGAATCTAGATGTTTTTAGATTGAAATAAGTTAAAATTGTATAAATTTTGAAAGTAGAAACAATGCTTACTTAAAATTACCTTTAGAAACGGATACCGATGTGGGCGATTCTGGAATAATATATTCCGAGTGAAATTGTTCTAATTTTGGAGCTTTTAATGGATTAGTCTCACCCTGTGGTTTTTCGGCTTCCGTATCGCCATTGGTGTCGTGGAACATGTCTTTGCTGAACTCTGTAACTAATCCACTGCTCGTTGTCGCGTTGTTACTTGACCTCTCAGAATATGCGGCTTGCATTGAATTGGAGTCTGAAACTCTACTGTCCGCTGAAAGGCGGCTATTCTCATCTAGTTCCATCACGTTTATGTTCGCTTCTTCATCATCATCTTCGCTGTCGCTAACTGGCTCGCCGAATATATCGTGTTCAGCTGAAATATGTAAGTAGAGCATTCTCTTTTTATAAATTAGAAATAAATATGAAAAATTTTAATTAACTTCAATATTGAATCATATCATTTAAAAAAATTATAACTATTCACATTTCGATTTTGTACAATGTATATATATATATATAAATATATATATAAAGTTAATTGCACTTGAATTGTTCTTATGTAAATATTGTTTATTATATAAAAGATAAAATTTGTCTTATATGATATATAATCTTATATATCATATAGTCAATTAATTAAGTTAACATTTATCTAAGCAATATAAGCGAATATATATAAGCAGTAAGCAAATAAATGTTAATTTAATTAATTGATTGTAAATTAATACTTACCAACATCTAAACTTTGAGACGTGTTCCCATTTATGCTATCTCGTTTAGTCTTAACTGTACCAGAAGATGACACTTTACTAGGTTTCGATGTATCCTCATCCTCACATATTACCTCCCACTTAACATTAACAGCATCATTGTCCACTCGCAATAAACGTTTAACTTCCTTCTCGATCTCTGGCGCCTCTACATATTTCTTCTTCAAAGTTTTTCTAAATCTTCTACGTCTCACGTTTTTAGTGGGTGGAGTTATACCGTGAGGCCAAAGAAATTTTTTATCCACCTTGTTTGGATCCTTTTTCTTCTGTTTAACAGGAGACTCTTCATCGGTAGCAGTGTGATCTTCCTCTTCTTTACATATTAGCATCTAAAGAAATGTTATAAGAAAATAATGTAATATAAACTCTTCATTTCCTATATTATTTACAATATTCTTCTTTACCTGGCATATATCGGCAGTCTTATAAAAACTTTTGTTATCGATGGTTTTTAAGGATTCCACTATTGTTGGCAGATCCACAACCTAAGTGAAAGTTTATCAAATACATAAGTCCACTTTCGTGAGCGATTTTCCCACAATAATGTAGGATGAATAGTGTGAAATAGGGAAAATTTACCTTAGCATGGAGTAACCAGTGATCAAGTCTAACCTCACCGTAACGCATATCATTCTCCAGTTTTATAGTCAGTCTGTCTTTTAAAGGCAAACTATTACGTAACGCCTCCTTTAGTACTCTAGAAGGTTCCTTAAAAAGAGAATTGATATTCAATATGATATATCAAAATTGATATATATAATCTTTAATTCTTAATTCTAAATAATCTCGGATTAGGTTAAGTTCAGATTGAATGAAATAGCAATATGAGAGGCATACCGGTGGTAATCGCATAATAAATTGACTCTCCAATTCCACCTGTGGCTCATTGCGATTTTTGTCAGTATTCGGATGACGGTTCATTTTCTTCGAGTTTTATGCGATGAAGCGATTTAAATAACAAATGAAAACAAAAATGAAATAAGGAATGTTATTAAATGGACAAACGACAGCACTAACACTATCCATCAATTGCGATGGCAAGAGATGCATCCAGAAGCACAATTACTCACTGAACGCTCAGTGAGCTCTTGCATTTGATTGGCATATTCCATTGCCAATCGCCGGTTCTACATTACAAGCCGATCGCAAGTTTGTTGTGACAACCAATATAAAGCGTTGATTTCAAAATGCAAGCTTCAGATTGGCTGTCGCAACAAATTTGCGATCAGCTTGTAACTAATGTAGAACCGGCTTTAGATCTAAAAATATGCATCAAATAGGCAGAACTCACTGAGCGCTTCTGGATGCATCCATTCCTAAACTTTTGAGAAGTTTCCAGTTGTCAATAATAGTCGCATTTATATGGAATTGTTTGCAGATAGGAGGAAGAGAAAAATCAATAATATGAAAATAAATAATAATAAAATTAATAGAATCGAAACAAAATTTTATTGAAAATTTTTTTATTTATCATATAATACAAAAAACATTTGTAAAATTAGGATACGTGCAAACATAAAAATTAATAAGAAATTCTGTAAATTACAAATGCGCTTAAAATTGTATGCATTATGCATAAAATTTTAAAAATTAATGTTTAAAAATTATACAAATAAAAAAATTAACATTATATAAATTCATAAATTATATATTTAAAAATCTGTATGATATTATTAATATAATTAATTATAATAATTAGATATAATTACAATTGCACATTTTTTCTTCAAATTTCTTATTTCTAAAACTTTCATTAATGATATATAAATAATGTATACCACGATTATATTATTATTCAACATACCATAAGAAATATACAATTTTTAATTAATATTTACTGCACCCTCATAAAGGTTCCGTTTCATGGTGCATATTATTTTATCCTTGTTGTTCATCGAATATTAAAGAAAGATAAAATAATATGTCATGCGCATCATGCGTGACGCAGCCATAGTAATACTAAACAGTTTAGTACACACACACACACACACACACACACACGCACGCACGCACGCACGCACGCACGCACGCACGCACACATCGGTGTTTAGGTTTCATACATGAATCCTATATATTACATAATTTACCTGAATTTATCTCTTTATCTAAAAAACGTATAATTTATCTTATTGGTCTATCTCTTTAAATCAGTTATCTATATAAGTCCGTTCTTTGCAGCTGAACTTGTACTGTTTACTATCTTTTCTCTTTTTTTCTCCAATGTGAAGAGAAAAAGGAGAAAGCTAAATAAATATCGTATTCAATTGAAAAGAATAGGAGCACGATTGTGTAAAACAAGGTAAAAATTATAAAAGTGAGTTTACTACTAGATAAATTTATTACTAGATAACTAGTTAAAATTATAAATATTTTAATAAATTCATTTTTATAATTTTTACCTCATTTCAATGTACAGAATTCATCCTCAGGCTGTACTTCTGTTTGTTACTCTCACGCTGCGCATGTCCAGGATCCATCCCACCTTCCCACTCTCTCGCATGTATACCGTACTCCGTTTCGCACGGAGGACAGGCTGATCAAAGCTGACACAGGCTCGAACTACAGCCGTAACGACCTGTTACCGCGTGGACGCGCTGGAGGGAGCGGAAAAGTGTTATTTCTTATGCCTGACGCGGCAGTGAGTAAAAGTGCGGGATCGCTGTAGAACAGGACGATCCAGGACGGCATCATGGAAGTCCTGGACCCAAGCGTCTCTAGGGATGATCAGCCGTTATGTATCAACGATTCTCTGGAACGAGGTAATCCGCAGAAAACATCTCGTTGAATACCTTTATGATATCATTATGCGTCATCCTCGTTCACATAATTATACGTTGTTCTTCACGCGCGAGAGATAGTCAGCGTCGCGCGTACATTGTTTGGAAACAAAGGGATGATAACGTGAGCAATGCGATGATGACGCGGGACAGATGTTCGTGAATATCGCGGAAGTGAAAATGATCTGTTATAGTGTTGATATTGCGACCTTCTTCATCTTTCCGCCTTCTCCCCTCGCGAGAGACGTCAATGCGCGAGTACGTCATATTTATTTTGTGCCAAAGCAAGTTACGTTCATACCCTTTTTTATTTTACATTTCACAGGAGTAGGAGAAGAATGAAGAATTAATTATTGTTTTAAATGTAGATTAATTTTTGGGAATATTAATGTGATTGTAATTACAATAATGCATCTGATAAGAAATTTTAGATCTATTTAGATAGCTGTCAATTAATATTTCAAATACATACATTTAATTTCTTTAATATACATTGAGAAAAATGTACTAAATTTTAATAAACATCTGTTTAAATAGTAGTAGCTATTTAATTATTAGTAGAATATTTAATATATTATTATTAATTATATATAATGCATCATTAATAGAATATTTAATAAATATATTATTTGGTACAAGAATCATTAATTTCATTTAATTATCATTCTTTTATTTAGTAAATATATTTATTTAATGTAAATAAATGTTAAGTTAGTATTATTCAAACAAATATTTATTGAAATTTAGTACATTTTTCTCAGGGCAAATTAATTTTTTTAATGTTTTTAGAATATCTGGAAGAGCCAAATTACATAATTGAAGGTCTTGCCATTCTCTTTCAAGATTATTCATAAGTAATATATTTCAACTTTTCTGTTGATAATATATGTTCACAATGTAATGTTTTTTTAGTTAACACATCGCAGATTCCGGCAGATACTACATCATGCATCAAAGCGCGTCACACACTCGGTTTTCTGGGCTTTCTTGGCTTTGCTCTTGTATATGCTATGAGGGTAAATTTATCAGTAGCCATCGTCTCTATGGTTAATCAGACTGCAATACCACATGCTGAAGATAATGATACTAGCGACGTTTGTCCTAAAACTAAACCGATAAACGGGACTTTCATACCGGTAAATGTATTGTTTTCTTTAAGTGGTCTGAATCTTAATTATTATTTTTTATATCATTACTCTAGATATTTATCATATTACTTCTTATATCATATTTTTTTTTAAGTATATAT